CATGAACCATGGAACCACCTGGAAAAATTCTATGGTTTTCACTATAATTATCAAAAAAGATTAAAATTCTGTAAACTCGGAATTATTTGCGGCATTCTAGATCAGGAATAACTGAAAATGTGCGTAGAAAGTTGAACATTTTTAAAGAAATTAAACTTGAAAACTTAAATTCAATTGAAACATTTTTTTAGATTTGCAAAAATTCATCAATATTTCATTAATGCCCTAACATGGCCTGATTCTTAGTAGGATTAGACACTTTAAATAAAATAAACTTGGAAGCTGACGGGGATTTTGAGGTGGCTTGGACAAGAAAATGAGGTGAATTGGCTCATACGAAAAATTGTTGGGGCTGGCCTTCCTCGCCTCGTAGAGCCACAATTAAAATTTAAAATAAATGAAAACCTAGTTTTTTAATTATTACCAATGTTGGTTTAATATCTTAGTACTATGCCTACAGTTTACAGAGAGGAGTTAGTTCTCAATTTCTCCGCTAGGTGTCTCATATGCTCAGTTTTTCTCAGAAATATAATTAGACTCTTAACATATTAGTTTAATATTTATAAAAATCTATAATATCATGGTTGTTAAAATATAAGTTATTAATAAACAATATGACTGGGAAATCAGACAATAATTTAGATCTACTTGTTACCAATATTCTATTATGAATGCATAAACCCTCTAATTCAAAAGATTCCACTGCAGAGTATCAAGTTAAATTATTCGATGTGGCCAAGCGCTTTCTCAACTTAAAGTTTAAACCTCTGAATGATAGATTTATTTGTTTTCAAACACGATAAGTACGAAAGTAAACTTTTAAAAAAAGTATTTATGATCTCTACACATTTACTATCTATCTACCTAGCTAGCTAACTGTTTTCCTATCTATCTATCTAGCTAGCTACTTTCCAGTATATCTATCTTTCTGTCTATCTATCTATCTAGCTGCTTTCCTATGTATCTATCTATCTATTTATCTATCTATCTATCTATCTATTTCTCTGTCCAAGCTAGCTATTTTCCTGCTAGCTATTTTCCTATCTATTAATCTATTTATCTAGCTAACTGCTTTCCTCTGTCTATCAATCTATCTCTACACATTTTCGATATATCTATCAATCTAACTATACCTATCTATCTACCTATCAATCTATCTATCAAGTCATCTTTTTCGCCTCCTATTTTACATAGCAATCTATCTATACTGGCATAAATATCTATCTACCTATCTACTCTGGCCTATATCTATATCTATCTATCTATTGCTGGATTTTATATCTATCAACTATCCTGGCCTAAAATATCTATCTATCTATCTACTGGCCTTCTTATCCATATCAATGCATCAGCTCCTTAACCCCCTCTCTACCACTCTACCAACCAAAACATACATACTTCAGACTCACACACACGCATAAACACACCCCATCACACACAAACTAACATACATACTTCAGACTCACACACACACACGCATAAACACACCCCATCACAACCAAAATAACTCAATCACACCCACTAACATGCATACTTCAGACTCACACACACACACACACACCCATTAACACACCCCATCACACACAAACTAACATACATACTTCAGACTCACACACACACACACCATCACACACAAACTAACTCAATCACACCCACTAACATGCATACTTCAGACTCTCACAAACACACACTTATGTCAGTTGATCTATAATTGATATATGTAGAATGTAGATAAAAAGGTCATAGTCCCTGTATATTACCTTTCAATCAAAACTTCTTATTTTTTCTTAAAACCATTTAAAGAAATAGAGCCTTTCCCACAAACTCTGATTTTGTAATCCCTATATTTTTGCAACCCAATGTCGGAAGACCTCAGATATTTCAAAGTTTAGATCAAATAGTATAAATTTGATATATCGAAGGTAAAAATAATATCGGTATAAGAAAATTTGAGTTTCTGCCACCAAATTTTATTTTTTCGCTTTCCTAACAATTTGACTTATCCTTAATCTCTATCAAAAAGTTATAAATACTTTGTGCAATTTTAAATAACCTTCCCACTACGATTGACAAAGGCCATCCTTGCATGGAGGGTCACTTGAAATTACGCTTACAGTCCCTATAAGGCTATGAATTTATTACACGTAAACTAGAATTCCAGTTTAAAATGGCACTTTTATTTCAAGATAACTAATGACTAGTGCATAACAATAAAACTGACACAGACGAAATGGCAGTTTAATCGACGAACAGACAGACAGACAGACATCTTGACAAAACATAGTTACAAATAATATATAAATAAAATCACAGCCGTTTAATTACGAGATCTATAAAACTAATATTATGGCAAATTTAACTAATTTTTTTTTGTTATAAATAATGTGCAAATATTGCACATATATTTATGGCACAAGCATACTTTGAATTGCACATACTAATAATTCAAGCATAATGAACACATATAATGAACACATATAAGAACATTTGTTAGTGTTTTTTAACAAGATTCTGATAATGTACTCCAAGATCTTGATAATGTACTCCAAGATTCTGATAATGTACTCCAAGATTCTGATAATGTACTCCAAGATCTTGATAATGTACTCCAAGATCTAGACAATGTACTCCAAGATCTAGACAATGTACTCCAAGATCTAGACAATGTACTCCAAGATCTAGACAATGTACTCCAAGATCTAGACAATGTACTCCAAGATCTAGACAATGTACTCCAAGATCTAGACAATGTACTCCAAGATCTAGACAATGTACTCCAAGATCTAGACAATGTACTCCAAGATCTAGACAATGTACTCCAAGATCTAGACAATGTACTCCAAGATCTAGACAATGTACTCCAAGATCTAGAAAATGTACTCTAAGATCTAGACAATGTACTCTCCATCCTCTCCCGATAACAACTTTTTAGAAGAGCAGGTTGAGTTTGTATGTGTGTGATTAATTGATTGCTGCCCTGATTGATTTGGTGATTCATTGATTGATTGATTGAAGGGCAATTGTCTCGGTGCCCCAACATGAACAGGAACGGAGCGGGACACAGAGGGGACGCCAGCATGTCCCACAAGCCCGTTAGGAACCATCTGATGACCTAGGTTGACCTGATGAATCGCTAGATTAACCGGGTGACCAGGGAGGTTGTGTGGGATCTGGTGCAGGGTGAGATGGGAGCGGTTGAGGGTGTGGGTTGGAGCCGGGTGAACTAACTCCAGGTTGTGGTTGAGAAACACCCTGCTACCCTGACCAGGGAACCCCTGGAACTGTTGGAACAGATTTGGATCGCTGCCAGGATCTAGAGTATGATAAATATGGTTGTTATCTATGCTATGGTAGGTATGTTCAGAGGAGTATACAGAAGCCTGGTAGGGATGTTCAGGTTTGGGAGCATCCTGTTCTAAGGCATGAGTTCCTAGAACGGGTTGATAAAGGTTACTGGTCTGCAGGGTTCCACGCATGGTCACGTTTCTATGGAAGGTGAGGTAGACGGGTTCAGGGAGGAAATATCGTAGTTTGTTCCAGAAGCTAGGATCCTGCCACTGAACAACAGGCGAGTCCTCCAGCAAATGTTTAAGGTCGGATGCTTTATCCAGATCAACATCCTCTAACTGGAGGAATATAACCTTGGTGTTGTTGGTCCGGATTGCCTCCATAAAGGCTGTTCTGATGTTGTTCCACTGGTTGTCCACATAGTTTCTGCTAAGGACGACCACAGCCCTGGTGCTGGTTTCCACAGCAACTGACACAGTATCAGAAAGTGGTGTGGTTGGCGGGAAATCTCTCTGGTGAAGACACAGCCTGTATGATGTGGTTCCATGTTCCAGGTTTTGTGCAAAGTTCTGTTCAACAAACTCACTGTCATCTTGGGCATAACTTATGAACACATCAAACAGCTTGTCCTTCCCGGCATAGACAGTGCTCTTATCCCCAGCCTTGGTTCTAAACATCCAGTCCTTGATGTTCTGTCTGAAGGTGAAGGCCACCAGGTATCCAATAACAATGATGAGAACGGCCAGGAGGACGGAGACCAGGATTGGAGTGTAATCAAAACCTGAAACTTTTCCAGATTGGAAATCTGGAGCAATGGCATCACACACAATATTCTCCATGGTGGCAAGAGCTTCGCCACGGAAATGATCTGCAACACATCTCAGGTTGATCTTGTCCACAATCTTTCCGTCAACATCTGCAGAGTAAGCCAGGAATGGTCGGACAAAATCACAATCACAACTCCACATATTCCGGGCTAGATAAAGCCCAACCAGCATGGGGTTACCCGCCAGCTCCCAGACCGGAAATGATGTAAGTAAGTTCCCGTCCAATCTGAGCAGTGCTAGGTCCAGTAAGGAACTAAAAGTATCTGCTCCCAGTCTTGTGAGAAAATTGTTCTGCAGATACAGTTCCTTCAACCTGTTCAATCCTATAAACTCATTCCCAACCAACTCCTCCAATTGATTGTCCTCCAGATGGAGGATCCTAACCTCCGACAGTCCTTCGAAAGAGTAATTTGTGATTCGATGAATCATCGAATTGTTGAGATAAACGGCTCGAAGTCGACGCCGACCGATGAATCCGGGGTTGATCAGTTCAGTCATGTTATTCCCATCCAGATAGACGGCGGTGGCGTCCATGGGAATGAGGGGGGGTACGTCCATGTGCCCCCTCCCTGTACACTGGATCATGTTGTTACTCCAGGTAGTGTCATGGAAACAGGAACATCCTGAAAAAAATATTTTTTAAATAAAAAAAATTTAAATGAAGTTTATAATTATTGTATGATATCAATCATAATATATTTAAGAATTTGCTTCTTCCAATAAATGTGTAAAATTTTCTGTGAGACCTGACATGGCCCTAGGAAGGTGTTAAAGTTAAATAAAAATTAGATACCTTAAAATTAAAGCTTAAAAATGTCTGCAGCTGAAAACTAGTTGTGGTTTTTAGATGTAAAACATTGACAAAAATGCTTCCATATCATTAAAAACTAACAAAAGATAAAAAAGATTGTAAGAAAAATAAGCATAGTTAAAAAAAACAAGATTTACCGTCAGGGCATTGCATTCTGCAATCACATGCTAAAAAATCACAGCAGTAGCACTCAGGAATACAATGCGCATCATATTGACAGAGAAACTCTTCTGTGCGCATGTGCGTCATCTGCTGGAGGCTCTCATTGGCCCCGTGCACAGTACAGAGCACGGTATCGAGGTCAAGAACACGGGGGAAGGTTCCCTCCACTGCCAGCTGGTTAACGCGCTTGAACCACTCGAGTTCACAATCACATTGCCAGGGATTCCCTCCCAGCAGAAATTCAGGAACTTCATCTAAATAAAATATTTATTTTTTAATTCAGAATAATCAAGTGTCCAGTACAATGTTTACAACAGTACCCTTTAAAAGTGAAAAAAAATTCGTGGATTTACAACAGTACACTTGGAAAACCTCGTGGATTTCTTCGTTGTGAAAAGAAAATGGCGGCACATTCTTCATGTTAAGATTTAAAATGCAAATTTTTTGTTCGTTCTATTTTTAAGTTAATCTGTAAATGCTTAACTCAATGGAGAAGGCGTAACCAATATCCAGAAATAGATAGATAGATACAAGATACATAAATAAATAGATAGGATATTTAACTGACCATTGCTAGTTTCAGCAAATCTTTCTTTGAAAAACCTTTCTTTGAAATGTAAATTAAGAACAGGGCAAAAATATTTTCCTAACATTAAATAAATCAAAAAGATTTTAAAAAAGATTTTTTTAAAAAGATTTAAAAATAAAAGATTGTTGAGAATTAACCCTGTTGGTTCGTTTATAACAGCAATTAGAATTTACAAGGCAACAACCCTTAGCAATCCTTTCAGAGAAGCGACTTTTTCATTTAAAAACTAGACAGATTAGAGATTCAGATAGATTTAGATAGATTTAGATAGATTTAGATAGATTTAGATAGATTTAGATAGATTTAGATAGATTTAGATAGATTTAGATAGATTTAGATAGATTTAGATAGATTTAGATAGATTTAGATAGATTTAGATAGATTTAGATAGATTTAGATAGATTTAGATAGATTTAGATAGATTTAGATAGATTTAGATAGATTTAGATAGATTTAGATAGATTTAGATAGATTTAGATAGATTTAGATAGATTTAGATAGATTTAGATAGATTTAGATAGATTTAGATAGATTTAGATAGATTTAGANTGTCAATACAAAAATGGAGACATGAGAAAAACAGGAAATTTTAGAGAACAAAATTCTGGAGTCTAAGAGACTGTTCCCGAAATTTAAAGTGTCCCTCCAATAACAGTGCTATAGCATGCCATTTTTACAAAGGTACTTCTAAACCCTTAACAATGTGCAAGTTCATAGAGAGGAATTACAGATAAAAATGATATAAATTTTCCAATAGAAAAAAATTTAATAGAGGATCATTCGAAATCTCGCGAACTGACCCTTTAAAGAAAAAAGTGAATTTAACCTGTATATTTGAGAGCTAGTGATTCCATATCAATCCCTCCCAGCAGATTTCCCTGCAGTTCAACTCGCGTTAAATTCTCCAGGTTTATAAAACTTCCAGGAGCCACCTTGTTGATCCTATTATTGTTGAGATAAAGGTTCTTCAGAGAATGAAGGAGTGCGTCAGGGGCCAGTTCTGCAATCCTGTTATAACTAGCATCCAGGGTTTCCAGCTTAAACCCAGTAGTCAGAGAATAATAGTTTCCAATTCGATCAATCTTATTATTATGAATATCCAACCATTCCAGGGACTTCGGAATAAAGGCGAAATCAAACCATTGTATCTGATTTTCGGAGACATTCATCCAGGTTAGGTTCTTCTGGGTTGCAACCAGACCGTTGATGTCTCTGAGCCGGTTGCTGTCTAGCCGCAGAGCTTTCAGACTGGTCAGGCCGGTCAGTGCGTTCTGTTCAATGGTGCTGATATTGTTATGTGAGAGGGTGAGCACGTTTAGCTCAGTATTATTGAGGAACACGTCCTTTCCGACCGTTTCTAGCTGGTTACCCGCCAGGCCAAGACCGTACAGTTTAGTTAAATTCCAGAAGAGTTTGCTTGGCAGTTTTGAGATGAGGTTCTCTCCTAGGTCAAGGGTTCTTAGCAGAGGAAGATGTTTGATCCCCTCCGGTACCTCTCTGAGTAGATTTCGGTTGAGTGCTAGGTCCTGGAGACGCGGAACTGCTGAGAGAAGCTGGGTTGGAACAGAACCCAGCTCATTAGAGTCTAGGGAGAGTGAGCTGAGTTGAGCCAGGTTGTCCAGCAGTGCTGGGGGCAGGATTGAGAACCGGTTCTCGGATAGAAGTAATATATGCAGGTTTATCAGAGATTTCAACGCTGTGGAGGATACATTGGAGATTTGGTTTCGTTGAAGGTTCAAAATTCGGAGGCTCTGTTGGGCGGTGAATAGGTCGGAGGGGAGAGAGGTTAGGAGGTTGTTACTGAGGTCCAGAGCAACCAGTTTGTTTAGGTTTGATAGAACACCTTGAGTTAGAGTTTCAGAGTTTATTAAGTTTCGCGAGATATTGAGGAGAAGAAGGTTTTCAAGACCGGAGAAAACTCCCTCCGACATCGTTGAGATTGTATTATTCTCAAGATACAGCTTTTTCAAATTGGAGGCTTGGTGGAAGAAAGTCGGAGGGATAGCAGCCAGTTGGTTGGAAGACAAATCGAGGCTGCCAAGCGACCATAGGCCGGTCAGCGTCTGATCCGATAAGACTGCAATTCTGTTCCCGCGGAGATTAAGATTTTGAATGCCCGGGGCGAGACTGAGATCTCGTGGTAGAAAACTTGAGATTTTGTTGTACGAGAGATCTAGAGATTTGAGATGTAAAAGTTGGCAAGATGTACGAGGATCCACGGCCTCGGTTAACCCGACCTCGGAGACCTCAACGATGTTGTTCCGGGTGAGGTTGAGGGTTGTCAGGAGGGGGGTGGAGCAGAGGGTGCGGGCCCCAAGCCCCCACAGATTGGAGGCGCTGAGCTCCAAGGATTCTTATATTTAGATAGATAGATATGTAGAAAAAAGGTAGATAGATAAATGGATAAATAGATAGATAAATAGATAGATAGATAAATAGATAGATAAATAGATAGATAGATAAATAGATAGATAGATAGATAGATAGATAGATCCAAGATTGACGAGTGAGTGTATGGAAGGATAAAAGATGAAAGTGCATTACTTTGTCCAAGCTTCAAATAGACCTTCAGATAAACACAGACAAGCCCTTATACATACAATAAACAAAATACCGGGGGGTACCCCCCCCCCCACTCTCCCATTCCTAAATATAATAAAAAAATACCCTTCGTGATAAGAACAAGAATATATCATTAAGTCAATACTCTATATAAAAATTAAGAAAAACTTGAAATGAAGAATTACTCAATTTTTTTTTTATCTTTGACTTTTTGAAAACCGTTTAACGTAAACCAAAAAACCACGAAATATTTAAAACAAAATGGCGACTTGACTTGGAAAAATGTACTATACCTTGCAGTGCCTGATGTCCAAGGAGGTTAGGGTTGGCAGTGTACCAAATTGATCAGGTTTGATCACAGACTCGTAGAAAATCGATCCCTCACTGCACCTCATCAGTAAACTGGCAGAATTCTCAACCTACACAATATCAAAAATTAAATCATATCTTATCGAATAAAAAATGGCCGGGATAATATTAATTAAGCTTTTTTTACATTCAAAAAAGTTGAGTTTTCAAAAACGTTTTGACCGATCAAGGATGACGGGAACAACCTTATTTTGCTCGCTTTTAAAAAGAATTAAATAATTAAAAAAATAATTTTCCTTATCGTTATTATGTGAAGTCTAAATAAAAGTTAGGTTAGTCGTATCTTCCATATTTGGTAGGACAGTAGACAAGCTACTTAAGAATTCAACATTCGTTCTATCTATACATCTATTGTATATCTATCTATCTATCCATCTATTGTCTATCTATCTATCTATATATATCCATCCATCTATTGTCTATTTATCTTTTTATCTATTGGATATCTTTCTTTTTATTAAAAAATAGAAATAGAAATAGAAATATTAAACATATAGGAACTAAAATCGCCATATATAGAAGATGGAAACTATAATACGATAGATAGATAGTAACTAAGATATAAAGATATTTAGAAACTAAGATAGATAGATGGATAGAAACTAGGATGGATAGAAACGAGGATAGATAGAAGGGCTGGTATAATAAGTACAATAAATATTCTATTTTTAATTAGGATTATGAGGGAGGATCCTGGGGTGGGAGGAG